AAACGGATGGGGAGGGATGACGAAACTCACAGCACAAACGCCACTGAGGTCGGCTCCTAGCCATGTCAGCAAGTGTATCCAGCCAAACGTGTTCACCGTCTTTTGGACCCCAACCAGGGAGCCGTGAAGCTCCAACTGAGGCCAGCTCCGAAGTGAGGGCCTTCATTCCTCTGGACCAAGTCATCGCTTGGCTACCTCTCCTCTTCTTCCACCCACATCCCCGGTGAGCAAACAACGCACGTCGAGGGAGTCGGTGGGCTGGCATGCGCAACACGTGGCCCAGCCATCGGAGCCTGGTGAGTGAAATGACGGTGCTGAGCGGTTCATTCCCTTTTCCTAGGCCGTAAACAAGGCGTCGAACACGCTCGTTACTCACGCGGTGTACCCACCAGATGTGAGCCAAACTGCGAAGGCACCGATGGTCGAACGTAAGTAGCCTCTTAATGTCCGCCGATCTTAGGGGCCAGGTTTCGCAACTCTACAGTAAGGTCGAACGTACCGTAACTAATGAAGCACATGAAAATCGTGCGTTGCCCGCCAGAAAAAGGGTAGGAGTTTCGGTCAACATCCCAATGGTGCAGGGTTCCTGTTACCTCTATCAGATAAGAGGAAACAAGACTGAAATGCGCAGCGCAGTGTTTTCGGGCGGTTAACACCCAATAGTTATTTGCTTCAAGGTGGATTTAGTCCGGAAGGCTCGAATCGTAATTAACTGACCATGCTTGTTCAGGTGTGTCTCGCAACAACAGAGCATCGAGATTATTTAGTTACTGACAGGAGAAGCGTTTGTGGGGGGGGGGTATTCGGCCGTTGTAAAAAAAATCGTGGTAAAGGACGGGTATAAAGAAATCTGTCAATTGCCAAGGGTAATACAATCGTTACAGTTTGGAAACATCAGATATGTAAGATGTAATTATTTTTAAAGATTCTCAGAGGAGGCTCCATGACTCGCAGGTTCAGGTAAAAAATAGTCAGCAACTAACAGCCTTCTCTTATTTCAGTGACATGCCTCAATTGGTACATTGCCTGGAATGTGTGAAAAGCGCCCACCGTAAGAAGACAATTTGCGGTCAGCAAGCTAAAGCAAACACGAATGGCAAGATGAAGTCCCTGGGAACAGGAACAACGAAACATTTGTTGCTAAGCAAATGTAATCCACCATTCTGACAGAGGGGCATCACGCAGTCGAAAAGTATAGGTGCACAGTGATGTGCGCGTGCAAATCACCAGGCAGATAATCCTCCGGACCACCAGAGTTTTCCGTATGCAAACGCGGAAAGTGCAACATCAGAGCGGTTTGTCGGTGGTCTACAAGAGCATTTCGGTGCGTGTCCTAAGCGGAAATTCCATAGAGCAAGGTAAACGGCGCTAAATTGGCACGCTACCAAACTGGGGGGGGGGCATAAGTGGGTGCAAAAAGGATAATTGAACTGTGGTGGTTAAGCAAGGTCCACTCGCACTAAGTTTGCAACCGCTCAAGAGTTAAACAAATTCATTATTATCCCCCTTCAAGATGGAAGAATCTTCCCTCGAAGCACAATCATGAAAGACAACAGTGGATGGGTTATGAGTCCAAGTTAAATGGCACAGAAGCAGATGACTGAGGGTATGCCCAGTGCAGACTAATTTGCTGATGTCCGCTTTCTAATAGATGGAAACCCGCCACTCACAATTGGGTGTCTGAAGGTGGATCATGCAACAGGTCGGAAAACACACAAATTATCCCAAGCCAGTTAAGATTTCAAGCGACTGCTCCAAGCAAATATACTCTCTATAGACAGTCCCAACGGTGGGGAGGACAGACACTACATTATATGATGGGTCAAAATGGTGTCAAAAGATGAAGACGGGAAACTTTAAGTGGACTCTTTCAAAATACGCAGTCGCGCAGCATCAAGCTTGCAGACAAATGCGCCATCGTGGCGCTTTTCTTTTCATTCCACACCTTATGACATCCACAGCTCAGTTCGGCGTTAAAAGCTAGTTGATCATGATTATGCGGGCGATATCGTTTTGCCTTTTAACGATGTTGCGGTGGCACAACCAACACTGAATAACCTCTCCAGTGGTACCATCATTGGGCATGCGCTTCGCACCTCCGAAATGCAAAGTGTTGTTACAGGACAACCAGCCACTTGATGACTCTCCGAACCTTTACGGCGAAGAACTCGAGGTAGTTGACCAATTCACTTAACTTGGCAGTTGCATCCGCAACGACGGACACATAGAAACTGCAGTCAGTTCAGGCATTGCAAAAAGTAGAACTGCTTTTTCGAATCTGCGACAGCTGTGGCGTCAGAAAACGGTTTCCCTCCGACTGAAAAGCCGCGTTTACAAGGCCACAGTGAGGGCCGTCCTACTGTATGGAAGTGAGATTTGGCACATCCGATCTGAGGACTTGCAGTACCTTCCAGTCTCTGAGCATCGCTGGTGTCGGATGGCACCCGAGTGTCCGTAACGATTATGTGCATAAGCGTGTACTAGAGTGATAATCAAGCTAATTCCTTAGAAAAGCAGATAGCACCGAATAAGTGGCGTTGGCTTGGGCACATACTACGTACGTTTGGTCAACACTTATCGAGGAGGACCTTATTTTGTTTGCCAAATGTAGGGTGGTGCAAGGCCCAAGGTGGACAGAAATTAACTTGGTAGCGGGAAATAAAGTCAATGAAGACCCAACTCGGTACCGTCGGTCCGCCTCGGCTTCCAGGCTGGAGTCCACGTGACCCACCTCGTGCTTGGCTCGAGAATTTACAGGACATAGCTCGCAGTAGACAACAGTGGCGCGTCTGCTGCGGTCTCCTAATCGGATTGCCTGTTTAAAATGTGTTCAGTGTTGAGTTATCTGCGGGGTAATGGTTGATTGTGACGCGGGGCAGTGAAATCCGCAAGGAGGCTGTCTCGCCGATGTTGCCTTATCATTGCACGATAGCCAGCGGTTTGTGATAATATGTTGTTGTCAAGGTGTAGGCGCCTTGATCCCAAGTGCTTGTTTAAAGCATTGAGGTTTTACTGTAGGTCCCTCTTTTCTCTCTCTTATTGTTCGTCGTTCCGTAGGTCACCGTGGTTGTAGGGCAGCAAAACATCAGTTCAAGTGACTTAGGTACTGCTGTTGATGATGACTCTCAGTTCAGCCGTTTGTTACTTTAAAGGGTTAAAACCCTAGGGTTTCATTAGACAGTAAGGCTCGAAGTTCGTATTAGCAAACAAACGGCGCTCATCTTCAGCGTTCTCATGAAGGAGAGACGAGTTGTGTTCCCCGATAAGAGTTGCAACTTATTACTCGTTCTCAGATATACTATTCAGTGAGTCTGTCTCTTCTGATACCGAATTCCTGGCTCTAAATGCAGCTGAGGCTGTGGTTCGTTTCTGAAGACTAATAATCTCTGAATTAAACGAACGGGGCAGAGTAGTATGCCGACAACCGAGAGTGTCCCACCTGTCAGATGGAGTTAACTTGGATAGAGTTATATATCTGGACGTCTACCCCGTATACCAGTATATGAAAAGTCAGCTAGAACGTGTGCGCTCAATAAACCGAGCTCTCAAGTGCTTCTCAATGGAAGCAGAGGCCATATCATCATACCAATGGTGCTCTTGAGTGTGCTTGCAAGGGAAGTTGACACTGACCTGATTTCATATTAACAAAAATAGCCAACAAGCAAGAGTCAGGTAGTCAAGTACGGTTGACAAGATGGCCTACGTCTCCGAATGCGGGGTCAGCTGATGATCGATGAGTGTGACCTACTGGAAACAAGACAACATGCGTTACTCCGCCTAGCGACCAGGTCCGAACTGTCGTCAAGAGATTCAATCGCAATATAAAACAGCTCACAATTGGGCCGCCGAGAAGTGAGAACACTGGGAGTCAAGCCAGCGATTGGTAGATGACAAACTTATCGGACTCCGGGGCCGGTGTACATGCTACGCAGTCGCGTGCGAAGGCATGGAACCAGGAGATTTCACACGTCCGTGAACATAATCCACAAACACCAGCAATCTTCATCAACTTTGCCATTACGTACATTCACTCCATGGATTTTGATAGCTCTGCTGCTGTGTGTGTGCACCCGAGAAGAGTGAGAATAACGGGGGACGATTCATAATTCTTAAAATGCCTCCAGGTCGAACGAAAGACTTTGACAATGCTGCTTTGTTACGCCCGAGCAACTACCGTGGTGTGCGATTAAATACTCAGGTAACTCGAACTTTCGGTTGAAAACTGAATCCACAGGATAGTGTGAGTGGTGCAAGAGGCCACAAGTTCAGATTTCGAGCGAGGTGAGATGTTGGGTAGAAGGTGCACAAACAATGACTAGCATTGATAACGGAGAACTTGCGGGATGACGCCAGTCGCTATACTACTGGTATCGAACAGAACGACCACAAATGTTTTCGATGACGTACAATAACCTGCTATCGAGGGTGCGTGTTAGCCAGTCAGAAAAAATCAAATGGGGAAAATATACCACAATCAACCTAGTAACGAGAAAAAGATGTGTAGCGACAGCAGTGTGAGTCAGAAGATGGAGCACGATGCACATGCCATGGGAAGTACATTGTTTATTCAAATGAAGTCAGAATGCGTGTCAAGTAACAAAGACAAATTTGTACACGATCCACAGTAGAACGATGATATGATGATGAAGGGGGGGGGGAACCAGGGAGAAATAGGTTTGGATGCTGTGGATTGCATACGAAGAGATGAAGTCTACCATCCCGACGGGAGTATCACAGAAGTAGGATTGCTTAAATAAAAATGCAAGGTAAATGGTGTCACGGAGGAACTAACTAACTGAAAAGAGTGAAGCGAGAAGTTAGAAGGCAAAAGATGGATAAAACTGGTACGGCTAGCTTAGAACGTGGTCATGGTTGAAATTAGGCGATCACAGATGGGATTGAAAGAGCATGTCAAGAATGTCAATTTACAAGTTAAGTGAAAGAGGATGGGGAAGAGGGTGGAGTTACGGCACAAGAACCTAACACGCATGGGAATGCAGTCAGGGTTGCAGAGGGATCAACTTAGACGCCATAGGTTTCCACTTATCGTACAAATCTTTTGACGATGCAGCGTATAGTCCTGTGGTTTTGGGAATCACTGCCGGCGAACTCGGATCGTAAGACAGCTGGGAGCCATCCAATCCCGTTATGCGACCGCCAGCCGCCTCGAGAACCGCGTGCGCAGCACACACATCCCATCGTCGAGTGCTTGAAGGATGTATGTACAGGTGAGCCTTTTGCTGAATGAGACTCAGAATTTTGAATCCTGTTGGGTAAATGGAAATTACAGAAGCAATTTGTAAAACACCGGGAGTTTGTTAATATAGTGAAGCGACAAAGTGGTCTGTCCAGTGTGTCACAGTGATATTCAAGCAGATGGACCCAAAAGAAGAGCAAATGGAGCAGCGCGAGCAGCAGAACAGAGCGCTGCATGCTCAAGGTGAAGCAAAACAAGACGAGTGCAAGCACGTTTCCGTGCTGCTCTCTATCAACCCTGGTAGAGATGCAGCCGGAGGAGTTGGGAGTGGGACCCGACACATAGTAGCTGTCCAATGCCTTGCTACCCAATCCACCGAGCTGTGCAAACACTGCTTGACACAGCACTCACTGTTTGGTTTTGTAGAAACTGCTGTGCGCTTAGATGAGAGATAGAGTAATTTGGTTTGAAGCAAAGCTTCCGAAAAACTGCTAGCGAGAATCTAGAGTTGGTTTAGATTGACCAATCAGAAAAGTTCGAAATATGAACCGGTTTAGCTTTTGTATGGTGGCTACGTTTCGCTCTTGACGCAGGAGTTTCTCCGAGACAGGGTTAGATCGACCAAACGCATTCGTTTACCGGATTACGAGAATATCGATTGGGTGGATTTCAGGCTGAATTCCGTGTCCATAAACCATGTAAGCACCATAGCTTCACTACTTTTCCCTTGTTTGAGTAATTCCACCTGGTTAAATACAACCAACCATCTTGACTCGGATGCCACGGTTATGCTATGCATTCGCTCACCATACTATCAGTGTGAAAAGTGGTGTGGAGACTGAAATCGCTTTGTAGCTATTTCCTAGACAACGTGGATGTCAACAGTAGTCTACATTCGGAGCTACCTGAGACGGTTGGTTTAGCTTGTATCGGAGTAGCGGATTTGTAAGGTAAATCAGCGTAAGAATTTCCATGCGACAGCTTTGTCTGAAGTGAACTTGGGACATTTTCACGACTATGCTGTTCTCGGATTGGATCCAGCCCCAAAAAGCGCTGCATAATGAACTGACTGAAAGCGATTCCTGTTTCTACATGTGGTTCACATTTGCAGAACTGAACTAAATCCATATCAGTTACCACAAGGATGGTAAAGCCGAGTTTCATAGACAAATTGTTTCACGAATCCAGGTAACTGTAATACATCTTCGGCAACTGGGTCAGCTAAGAGACTACTGTGTATTAGAAGAGCTGCTACAGCGTCCCAAAGCTGGAGAAGCGCGTGACTGAGATAAGGCAGCAGCAGCACGTTAGTTTCAAACGACGTATCATGTCGCAAGAGAGTTCCTTCGTTTGGAGAGTTGTTGCCATAAAACCAAAAATTGTTGTTGACGGGTTATGTGAGTGAAGTGCCCCCGTGATGTTTTAGAAACAACGATTGTGAATGCGCCTAAATGTACCGCGTTCCCGGTTTAATTTAGTTTATGTAAACAAGGATGATCTGTGAATAATGTTGCCGTGAGTCTACCTGCCACGACTCGCATTGCCAAGATGGCAATGATGAAAATTTGGTGAGGGAGATGAGTTAGGACGCGGACATAATTAAAGAAAGGGAATAATACAGTTAAGCGGGGTGGGATATAAATAGCTGGGCGCAAGAAACCGAATACAGGAACGCTAATTATTCCGTCGTGTCCAATAGGGTGTACAACGACTGTTGTAGACCATTACAAAGTCTGCATTCATAAGAACACATACCAAGAGAATCCGCAGCCTTACATCTCGAAGACGGCCTGTCTTGTATCATCGTCATCAAGTTTTTCGGTCACTTGCTTCGTACGTGTGTGCAACGATGACGTGGCACCACCGTTATGCGGTTTCAGGCAACTAAGTACAGCGACAGCATACTATGCACATAGAGACAGGCGGTCAATGGATCCAAGAAGGACCACCTCTTCAGTATGGACAAATTTTGTCGGCTGGTCACATGGAAGAACTTCCACACCAAAAGTGGAAGAGAAGACGAAGTCATTCATCGTCATTCTGATCACCAAGGAGTTAGGGAATAACCATAATGAACCTTGCTGGTTTTGGTGAGTTAAAGAGATAGCGCCTCGCAGATCCATACTCGACCTCGGGAGTCGGGACAAAGAGACACCAAAATGGAGAGAAATTTCTCCGGCACGACCTTCACCGATAGGCAGTACTACAAGCTAGCACAGAGGACTGTTTTCATGTCAATGATAACGACAATAACCGACCTTCTGTAAGTGTGCTTGATGAAGAGTAATAGATAGGTGGTCAATGTATCCTCGACCAAGACAGAGGCTATCCTCGTTCTCACCTTTTCAGTCTCTACGAGATACAAAGAGTCATCGCAAACGACATTTGTCGAATGTGGATGATGTCTCATTGCTTGTCGCACGAAGTCGCCTGGCGCTTTCTGAAGATGCGGATGTCGTTCGACAACCGCCACAGTTCGGGCGGTGTTGCTATGTGGTAGCGGGTCATGGCCACTTCGCGTAGATGACATGCGCCGGCTCTCAGCCTACGATAATGGGTGCTTGAGGAGAATCACTTGTGTGTGGTGGCAACAGCTTAGCTGTAACAGTGAAATCAGACATCATGTATTATGGAATGCGAGTGCTCCCTTCAAAAAGCTGGTTTTACTGCGCCAGTTAAGGTGGCTCGGCCACGCTCTGCATACATCAGCTGAGCGTTTGCCCTAATGCGTTCCGCTTGCTAGTATAGGACTCCACTGGAAGAGACCGTGTGGCGGTCAACCATCCACCTGGCGACAGCACATGGAATCAATGACTTCACGTCTTGCTGCCATCGGATGCACAAGCCTGCCTAGTTGGGGACTTTAGGATGAAGAGTGCCGATGGCTCGAAACAATTCAGGATATGGAAGATCTGTGTACACATTTGTTTGGATTCAGATAACGCCTAACAATTAAGAAAATGAAAAGAGACAAAAAACGGCATGTGAAAAAGTAAAGTGGTTTCGTTTTTCCTTCTTGCGGTACAATAGCTGAAGTGTGTTGTTCATATGCAACTAACGTGCCATAATGATAATGCTGCCTCGACTCCACCTATCGTTCGCGGAAGTTTTTACTATTATTTTATTAGTATTATTATAATTATTCTTACTATTATTATTATTGGTATTATCATTGAAAATGTTCAATAAATAGCAAGGTTTGTGTGCGCAGACAACTGTTGAATGACAGAAATCCGAATGTCCATATTGAGATGATGCGATCAATCCATCATCAGAGGATCCTGGATGTTTTGATCCAAGCCGACCTTGACTGTTCGGATCAAGCTGGAAACGCATCAAAAGGGGAACGCAAAGTATGGGCCTTCTGCGGCGTTCATTTGGACGCTTTGACTCGTCGATTTTTTGGTAGCCTGGCGGAGTGTATACAATTTCACATGTGGATTATATATTACAGGTCTGGCAGTCATGAATGAGATCTTATCGCCTTGGAGGTAGCCCAACATCGGAGAATCAATAATAGCAAATGTTTGTATTAGTTGCCTTATGAACTAAGGCTTCCAGTGCTTCGACTCTTTAGCGGACAATATCAGCGAATGCATGGCGACTTTATTTTGGCTTACCAGATTTTAAGGGATCCCAATTACACCTACCACCATGTGCTAGAGCTCAGTCACAACGGCAATCTGAAAGGTCTACAGTCCTTTGGAGTGCAGTAGGAATATCTTTCACGTACGTGTTTCTTAAGCATGGAATATCCTTCCGGAATGTGTTATCTGTGCGCCCACGATGGTAGAACTCAAAGCCCGAGTTGACCACGCACTCATGTCACTGCCTCATCTCACAGGACTTTAGTCATTGTTAGAGAATTCACCGCCGGTCAGCTCCAAGGATACGTTCCAACTCATGCATGTACCTTTTGCAAACGTCTCACTGGTCAGTATTTGTCATGGATTTACAATTTTTAATGCGTGTAGCTTGGTGAATCCACCGGTGTGAACTTTTATTTTGCAGACATATTTTCAGTATTTTGTGGTATTCACCTTGACCATCCTACGGGACCTGTTGAGCTCTAGTTTGTACCAGTGCTAGACCATTGTTCCAATGAAAGCTATCCAAGGATTGGCAACACTTGCAAATCAGTGCCGCTCGTAAGCCAACATCAAGAATATTGCACGTTCAATACCGGGCCAAAAATGTAGGACAGTCTGCTTGGTAGTGTCGGATGAAACCGGGTGGTGGACGCCCCAAAGGAGGAACACTTCATAACTGATGGGTCACAGAAGGCCAGGTCGATGATGTTCAAAGCTGGAGTGACGTGTGAACAGTATTAGTCTGAGCAGTACAAATAGTATCGTGTCTGTCGGAACCGTGGTGTCCAGGTCAGTCGAACAGATTGAGTGTATTTGAGGCCTTCCAGACGTATTCAGTGGAGACAAAGAAACGTGTGTTGTTTTTCACTAGGTTTAATTAAGGAGGGTGACAATAGCAATGTCGACCAAGAGTAGCAAGACAAAAGTATTCGGTAGTTGATGGACCGTAACTCTGAAGATGTGTCTTATTGATATGGGAAATAAACCATTACGAGCCGACTAGGGAAACTGTCATCGACCTACCTCGAAGTGAAATGCCTAAAATCCCTTGCTAAGTCTGAATGGCTAATATTTATGTTGAAACGGTGCGATCTAGCCAACAACATTTTGCGATGTTTACAGTTTCTATGTCATCTGTGGAAAAACTATTATAAACCACTGAAAATTAGGATCCATGGACATCCTCTGTCTCATCGGAAGAAACCGTCTCGGTTCAAAGTATTTAGGCTTTTTTCCAGTAGATTAGGTCTGGGGTCGGTATATTCTCTCTCTCTCTCTCTCTCTCTCTCTGTGTGTGTGTGTGTGTGTGTGGACTGGCGATTTGATAGTTGTGCAGCACAGTGGCACATGTTATAAGGTGACAGACCGGTTCCGGTGTTTCCAGGTGTGAGCGCGAAGCACCCGCCACGATGAACTGTAGATTGTCCAGTGAAGCAGACAAAGTCAATTCACATCCAAGGATAGTGGGAATTAGCAAGTGCGATTAATAAAACTCACCTGAACCTCCAGCAGGTAGAAGAAGCAGCTGCTGTGGTTTAAATGCGTCGATCACTGATTGTCCGAGTGATGTGTTCAAGTGGGACCGAGAATGAGTGACTACCAACACGTCACTTGCAAGTTTCGACGTGGCAGCATCGCTCATGATTTTCGCAAGGTCAGACGAGATGCCGTGGTCACGCCAGGCCCAATCTAAGATAAGGGAAGCACATCCAGAATAAAGGGAAGCATTAGTGTAAGAAAGGTAAAAGCCTAGGTTGAGTGGCGATCACAGAAGAATAACCGAGATGCCGTTCTGTGACAAGGTGAGGAGCTACAGCACACCACTCGAAAGGGGGATGAGATACTGTAGTGTCTCCGCGTTGTGGAGAAGATGAGTGATGAAGCTTTCGGTGGTAAATGACGACCGATAAACAAGTGGAAGCGTTACAGAAAAGTTTTCATGTTTGGGTAACAAGGTAAAAGGCAGAAGATATCCGCAATACGGCGATACATATTACCGACACTTCGATGTCATGCGACAATCACCAGCCACTCGGTGCCTACGCCTAAGAATACAGTGAGATCAGCTGAACCTACTCGAACCGGTGGCCTCCGGGCTGTGGTGCAGATGAGTCATTCGTTCGACCAGCAGCCACCATGAATATCAAGCAATTGGGTGAATTCTGTCACATTTTCAATGCGGCTGCAGATGATTCAGTTAGGTTCAGAAAATCAAATACGACCTGTACAACGGAAAGCGATGGACCCAGTCGACGACTTATCAATGCTAACGAATCGGTTCACATGTAACGGTTGGCCCAGGTATGTCAAACAGACAACCAAGGATCAAAGAGCACCAGAACTAGCTTAATAATCCCGAAAAGGTGACGAATTGCAGCGTACCAACTACCTTCCAAACACCGGTCGAATTAACAAACAAACGGTCTTTGATATTTTCCACAAAAGAGAAGCAGAACACAGTTGCGGAATGAGAGGAAAATTGCTTGCAATCGCGCAGGCATCGGGAATACGCTTGACGAGACCTAACCATACGTGAGAAAGGGAATGGTACAGTCGTTTCACGATGAGACTGCATCCGTCAAGACGAGACTGGACCTTAACGTGCCGGGACGGTTTGCGTACCTCGTCGACCCATTGAGCTATACTGGGTGGGGCCCTGGGACCTCTTAAGAGCTACTCCTACCAGGTTGGTCAATGGCTAGAGGTCAGACAAACGCAACCGCATGGTTCTCCAGGTTGGGAGTTTGAAATGGGATCGCGTCCATTTCTGTAAAACTAAATCCGTGCCACCACCCCGTTGCCTTGCGGATAGGCTTTTCAGCCAACGGCTTTGGTTGATGACCATAATCGTCTTCCTGTTTAGACCTGGGCGTCATGGCAGTATCTCAGCTCATGTACAACCATATCAATCTCTCCAAACTACATCCTGCATCGGCTATCGCGCAGCTTATCAAGGGTCGCCTTATCTGCTGAATACAGCAGAGCGGATAAGCGAAAACATTTTACTGCTGGTCCCTTCTCTCTTCCCCGTTTCTCTTGCTCTACCCACAACGCCCTTTACTAACTTCTCTTTTATAATTCTCAGTTTCATTGACAGCAACCACAATGTCACTGGAGTCATACCATCTTCAGCTATGTTCCCGCATCACCCACCGAACATTAATCGCCAACAATCTCCTATAAAGCCATATTGTCCCGTTTCCCTGGCTGCGTTCAACGTTAGTACTCTAAGACAAATCGGTCAACAGGCTGCATTCGCATGTACGTTAAGCACGATGGGTATTGATGTGTGTTATGTATCCGAAACTAGGATAAACGACGTTCACGGAGTTGTTACATTAACTGTACCCGGCTTGTCCTCTCGTTATTGGTTGCACGCATCTGGAGATGCTGATGCGGCAGCCTCTGGTCAAGCTGGAGTGGGCATTGGTCTCAGCTCCAAGGCCGAATCATCGTTGATTGATTGGATTCCCGTGAACAGTCGCTTGTGTGCAGTTCGTTTGACATCAAGTAAGACTGATTCACGGTGGCGTTAGACACTGTTTGTTTGTGGTTTCCGCTTATACTCCCACCGACTGCAGCTCCGACGATGCGAAGGACGCTTTAAACCACGAACTGAACACGCTACTACGCAGTGTTACCAGTTCAGATATCACAGTTCTTGTAGGGTATATGTATGCACAGATAGGCTGTCTGAGCTATTCAGAAACTTTGTTAGGTGGTAAGTACGGACTTAACTCCAAACAGATAGACAACGGCGAGCGTCTATTACAGCTGTGTGCGGAGCACCGGTGCCGTGGTTCCATCCTGCATTGTTGTTCTTTCTGGAGTACTTGCATCGACTCCAATCACGCCTTGGTACGCCGTCGTTCTACCGTGACCTTTACCGAGAGGAATACCTAACGCTGCCTTCGATTGGCTACTGAGAAGTAATCTCAGCCCTCGGTTAGGGAAGCCTATCAGGATGCACTGCGTACCGAACTTTTACTCTCTTGTCCTAATGACACTGAGCTTCAATGGAATAGGATCTCGAACGCCATGTAACATGCAGGAGCCTCCGCTTACAGCACTATCAAACGTCACCACACCAGTCTTTGGATATCCAAGAGAAAACTCCCGGCTGGATCTGATCACAATGTTATCAGGAGGGCTAGTAGGCGTGAACTAAAGCGGGGCCTGCGCGTTGACAAGGAAGAAGCCTGGTGGACCAGTCGGGCTCAATAAATGGAGAAGGCAGGAGCAGTAGGTAATTATTGCAAGCTCTTCCAGCTGATGCACACCACCGGTTCCAGGAAATCAGACGCCAGCGAGGCAATCAGGGACAGCGCGAGCGCCATGATTTATGGCGCGTTGGGGGGAGCAATTTCAAAATCAGTTCAGCTAGCCCGCTGCTTCTGGACTTCTTCCTACTCAGATGTTGCAGCCTGAGCCATGGCCAGTTAAATTAGAGGCTCCATCAGAGGTTGAGGTCCGATGCGCGATCGCAGGCCTCAATCGTCTTCGTGCTGCCGCCTCGGATTCCCTCCGATCTGCACTATTTAATGATGATGATGTCCTCTGCAAAGCCCGGATCTCCCTGTTTGAACAGGTCAGGAAGGCAAAGGACATCCCAGCTAAGAGAAGTAAATCAATTATAATGGCGATATACAAGAAACGCAGTCGCACCGACTGTATTAACCACAGGGGTATTAACTTAACGGCAATTGTGAGAAAAGTGCTGGCCTCAATTCTCGTTCGTCGCCTCACTGCAGAACGGGAATCCCGGAGTACGGAAGAGCAAAAAAGGTTTCCGCGCTGTACGTAGATGTACAGACCATATATTCACGTTGCAGCAGGTGCTAGAGTAGCACTACGCATACCGCAGACCGACAATAGCTGTGTTCCTCGATTTCAAGCGTGCGTTTGATTCAGTCCATCGATGCATTCTGTTCGAAATACTTGCGCGGAAAGGTGTTCCCATGAAATATGTGAACATTTATGTGTTCAGTACTCAAACATCACAGGCCGCATCAGGGTCTACGGTGATCTGTCGGATATCCTTCCAACAACAAGTAGCGTCCGTCAGAATTCTCCATCAAGGAGTGTTCCCTTGTCAGGTCTCACGATGCATGCGTTGAGGTGTCGCCTGGGGAGAACCTAGTTAACCTTGATTATGCGGACGATATCGTCTTGCTGTCTGACGATGTTAGGGCGGCGTAAGTAACCCTGAATATCCGCTATAGAAATGTCCTATCCTTTGGTATGCTCTTCGCACCTTCAAAGTGCAGTGTTACAGGATCACCTACCACTTAATGATCCCTTGACCCTAGATAGAGAAGAACTCGAGGTAGGTGCATTTCACTTACCTTGGAATCTGCAACAGGGACGATGGGCGCATAGCAACTGAAGACAGTTCACGTATTGCAAAAGCCAGAACTGCTTTTTGAGTTTGCAACATGTTTGGTGTCAGGAAGCGGTTTCTCACCGCTTGAAATGCTGTGTATACCAGGCCACAGTGGGGGACGTCCTACTCTATAGGAGTGGGACTTGGCCCCTTCAGTCTGAAGATCTGAGGCGCCTTCAAGTCTTTAATCTTCGTTGTCTGCGAAGTATTGCCGATGTCGGATAGCACCAGCGTGTCGGCAACAATTATGTGCGTAGGCGCGTGCTACGCAATGAGACCCAAGATAGTTCCTTAAAACAGATAGCACTGAACAAGTTACGTCGGCTTGGGCAAGTACTATGTATGCCCAGTCACCGCTTACCGAGGGCCTTGTTCTGTCTGCTAGATGTAGGGTGGCGCAAGGCCTGAAGTGGGCAAAAATTAACTTGGTAGCGGGAAATGAAGTCACTGACGACCAAACTGGGTGCCGTCGGTCCGGCTCGTCTTCCAGGCTGGAGTTCACGTGACTCGCCGTGTGCTTGGCTCGAGACTTTACAGGACATGGCTTACAGTAGACACCAGTGGCGTATCTGCTGTCATCTAGTCGGATTGCCTGTTTGAAGTGTGTTTGGCACTGAGTTATCTGCGGGTTAATGGCTGATTATGACTCGTGGCAATGAAAGCCGCAAGGAGGCTGTCTCGCCGATGTCGCCTTATCTTTGCACGATAGCCAGCTGGTTGTGAAAACATGTTGTATACACAAGGCGTAGACATCTTGACCCCTAATGTTTGTCTGGGGTATTAAGGCTTTCCGGTAAGTCCCCCTTCTCTCCCTCTTATTGTTCTTCGTTCCGAAGGTCACCGTGGTTGTGGGGCAGCGAAAGATCAGTACAAATAGCTGATGTACTGCTGTTGATGACGATGAGTCGCTTCAGTTGATATGGGCGATCACCAGTCTGGAAGGATGGAAACAGTCTCAAAAACCCACGTGAGTTCGATCATATGACGATCAAGGTAATCATAATTTAGATAATAGGATTAGTCACTACATTTTCGCACTTGGGAATGAAAGCCAACATTAATCCTATGATTATTACCGTAAAAGTCTAACGAAGTGGTCGAAAACAAATGCTTGTTTTTAGCTTGCCTCTTTTTCTAAGATCAAGAACGAACCCGGATTAAATAGGCAAGCAGTAAAAAAAACGCTGTGCCAAATGTTGCTCACGGATTTCGGTGGCATAGTGACCAAAGCGTCAGCACCGGGTTCCACCACAGTTCGTGCTAGCTCCACCTAATGAGTCCAAATCAAAATGAAAGCGGTCATGGA